AGTGTAGACCCTAGGGACCTAGCCGCAGGTACAATAGGAGTTAACCAAGTAAAGTTGTGCACACAGAAGGGCTCACGCGGATACATGGCAGAACCCATACACTATCACTGGAAATGAGGTGATAGGAAAGCTGGACCGGTGGAACGGAATGCAAGCTAAGTGGTGTTCCCTTTGAAATGTTCACATTCCATAAGGTGTACATATCTTGGGACAGTAGGCCTCATTCCTCTAAGCCTTAAGTGTGATACAGCTGTACCAGGTTTACGGCTAACTTCTAATATGGGGTGCCTTCTTAATGTTAAGTTCATAAAAACACGGTCCTGCTTTGTCCTGGGCATTACTGAGTGCATACACTGGAAAGAGTGGGCCCCATGTGCTTGGCAAGTAGGCACCGCCAACACCCTCACCCAGTGGTTGTGGGGGTCTGTGGAAGGAGGCTTATTGGAATCTGGAAGTCCCCATAAAACAATAAAGGGAATCCCAGATTCCTCCCCCCATTTAAATAAGTAAGAGGTAAATACTAAAATATAAACAGTAAAAAAAAACACAGTTTTTGACAATTTTTTCAATAAAAAAAGTCTCATTATGTACATTCTTTTGTCAGCTCATCCAGCAATGTAGATCCATGTCAGTCATGATGTTCAAGAACCTTTAACCTGTGGAAAAAAATAAATAAAAGCCATGCACTGACAAACATCTGGTGCCATCACTTCACTCCCACCAGATAACAGGTCTAGTGGATGACAGCTGACATATACATAGGGGCAGGGGGGCTCCCAGGTGACATCATTGAGCATATACGGACATGATCATTTATAGACAATGATGCCACTGGACAAAGTGATTCATGGTGGATGTACATCATAGGACATTTGTTTTTTTATTAAAGGACTTGTCAAAAACTGTTTTTTTAACTGTTTACATTTTTTTTATAAATGAGTTGGGGTACTATGTAGCCCTTATTCATTCACATAGGTAGAATCTGTTATTTGGGGGACCCCCTATTTTTAAAGGGGGCTTCCAAACTCAGATAAAACCCCCCTCCTGCAGACCCCAACAACAACAGGGCCAGGGTTATGGGGAAGGGGCCCTTGTCCTCACCACCTTGGGAACAAAGTGCTTTTTCTGGGGTTTTCTTCCTGGCAAAGTACCCCCAATGTTTAGGGCATATGAAATGTTCACAGGGTGCACATTTCCTTCCTTTTCCTGGCTTACCAGGCTGCAAACTGATTTGTTTGTTTTGCTCTTTCTACATGTAATTGTTTTGTGTGTAGGATAAGAGTCTGGTATAGATGGAGGGAATCACCAGCTGCATTGTTTCCAAACAGAACAAAGACTGGAAGTCTTCATTTTGTTGGCAAAAAGCATCTGGTAAACACTTTTCTTTGCAAATGTCAGTGTTTTTGTACTGATGGCGTTCAAGTCAAACCGGGACTTTTGAGTTTATATAAGAACCAATTTCAAGGAATGAAAAATGCATTTATTTTTCGATATACTCCCTTGCTACAAGGGGCGTTCAAGTCAAACCAGGACTTTTAATTTTACATGTATAAAAAGGGATGCAAGCGTGGCAGTACTAAATGTAGTAGTAAATGGCATGTGCATCCTGTTACTGATAGGTGGCTCACATGTTGCGGGCCAGTCCAGAGACCATTAATCAAGATGGCAGACAATAGTGTTAGTGCTTGCATGGAACAGCATGTGGTGATGAAGTCTCTTGTGAAAGGAGTCATAAAACCAGCCCACAGTAGTCTTTCCTCTAAACATTCAGAGCATGGAACGCCTGATCCTGGATATTTGATGCATAACGCGTCGTGAAATTGCACAAGAGACAAATCTTTTTGTGAAAATGGTGAACATATTCATTCACGAGGATGGTTCAGGCATAATGACAAATCTTTCTATGCAAAGCTTTCCAGGCATTAGTTAAATGCTGGGATAAGTGTATAAATGTAGCAGGGGAGTATGTAAAAAAATAAATGCAGTTTCCACTCCTTGAAATTTGTTCTATTATATAAACTCAAAGTCCAGGTTTGACTTGAATGCCCCTCCTAGTTTGTTTGGTCCAAGCTGGACAAGGATTTTTGTCAACAAAAGGCAGAGGTGCATTTTGGTCACACAGCACCGAAAATTTGAGCCGTGCTAAACTGGCTCTAAACAGCAGTGTGTAATGAGGGGGTGGTGTTATGCATTCCCTTTTTACCCTCACTGGTTATTGGTTATGGGGCAGCTGGCAGGTGAGGCAAGCTAAAACTTCCACGCTGTGTGCAGTAGAAGAGATGATGCTGCTTTAGGGAATGCATACCTCCCAACTTTTGAACTTTGGAAAGAGGGACACGAGGGAGGAAATAACCCACAATACACATAGCACACTACCGCAACATTGTTTGGTGAGCTACTGTATCAGAGGTCTAAACAGACCTCTGCGGTCTCACTTATGAGACAGAGAAAGGGACTGAGGTAACATTTCCCAGTTCCTTTCTGCAGTCCCAGCTGCACTGCAGATGAATGAGCAGGAAACAGAGCCTTCTGTTTGTTCACAAATTGAAGCATAGTAAACACAGTTTACTATGCTACAGTGATGAATGAACAGTACCAATCATTCACTGTGTACATTTAGAAAAGGAAGGGACAGATAAATGACATATTTACTGACCCCTTTGCCCTCTCTTCATCCTGAAGCTTCTCCTGTGTGCCTGAAGCTACTGGGAGAGAAGAGGAGGGAAGCTGCCAGCGCTGGGGGTCCAACACAGGGTGTCCAGGCAGCAGGGAGAACCCAATAGTGGGCAGGAAGAGGTGATCAGTTTGGTGGGTAAGAGAAATTACCGGAAATTATCTTTTGTGGCTCTCCCTGAAAACAGGCAGGCTTTCATCTGCTGCAGTGAGAGCCATAGAGAAGATTGGTTCCAGTCATTTGCTCCACCATCAACACCCATCTCAATGCCACCCCTGCCCTCCCCCCAGTTTTGGTGATACAGATCATTGTAATTGCAGTGGAATGTTTACTTCCTACTACATGTAATAGTGTCATTCATGTAGCTGGCAGATGGATTACACAGTCCTGCCAATGCTGAATAATCCTTTATTATTGTCATTCTGGGGGAATGATTACTACCAGCTGACAGATCAATCACACAGCCCGGCCAGAACTGACAGACCCTTTACAAGAATTGTTTTGGTTGTAGCAAGATTTCTTCTTTAAGGCTTCATTAGAAAAAAAAAATTTCAGCTTGCAGATGCCACTGCAGTAGTTAGACAGTAGTGTGTCTCTGTTTAATGCTGTAATTGTTTGATACAGTTACAATATTAAAAATAACAAAATAATTGAAATAAAAAAAAATACAAGCATTTTTCTACTTTTCAACCTTTAACTGCTTCCCGACCACCCTATAGAAGAAATACTGCTACAGGGTGCACGGGTGCGCAAAATCATGTATATATACGTGATTTTGCATTTCCGGGTAGGGGGCGTGCATGAGCCATGCACATGCCCTGCCCACGCCTGGTGATTACCGAGCATTTCCGACAGGGAGGAGGACTGTTTTGTTTACTAACAGTTCTCCTCCCTGTCAGCTCATGCACATTGCTTTGGATGGCTGTGCACAGCACAGCTATTCAAAGCAGTGTGCGTACAGTGACCCCCTAGTAAAACACTCCCTGTACACAGTTAACCCTTTGATCGCCCCACACGTTAACCCTTTCCTGCCCAGTGCCATTGGTACAGTGTCAATGCTGTATCAGTACTGATCACTGTATTGGTGTCACTGGGAATGTCAGTGACACCAAGTCAGTTCCCCCCAGTGTCAGAATACCCGTCGCAGTCCTGCTATAAGTTGCTGATCGCCGCCATTACTAGTAAAAATAACAGGAAAAGAAAAAATTACAGTATCTATACCGCCATTTGTAAATATTATAACTTTCACATAAACCAATTCATTTAAACGCATTGGGATTTTGTTTAGCAAAGACATGTAGCAGAATACATTTTGACCTAAATATATGATGAAAATTCATTTACATTTTTTACTGGACATTTTTAATAGCAAAAAGTCAAAAATATAGTTTTTTTCTCAAAATTGTCAGTATTTTTTTTATAGCGCAAAAAAAATGCACAGGTGATCAAATATCACAGAAAGAAAGCTCAAGTCATGGAAAAAAAAAGAATGCAAATTTAATTTGGGTGCAGAGTTGCATGATCGCGCAATTGGCAGTTAAAGTTACGCTTCACCATATCACAAAAAATGGCCTGGTCAGAAGGGGGGCAAATCCTCTGGAGGGCAAGTGGCCAATTTAAAAAAATGTTTTTATTAAAATAGTGTACCAAATTAAATTTATACAGTATGTGTCTTAAAATGTATAAATATTTTGCACAGGTAAATTAGTCATAGTGCTATTGAAGTTAAGCTGATGTTAACTGACACTGCTTAATTTTGGCATTTATATTTCAATGACCTCTGGGCAAGAAAGGGTTCACACATTTACAGACATTATATTTTGCCTCTAACTTAGAAATTGTAATAATGAGTATATTAGATTAACCCCATCTTTTTCTCTCAGGTATCAGGGGACCTAATTATACTTAATAATACAAGGATACTTGTACAGTATATATACTCCCACTTCTAAGTACAACCTAACTGGATGCAGAAACCACTGAGATTATAACCGTCATCTTGCTGAGCTGGGACATTTTTTTTTCAGATAAGACAGTAAAACCATAGCTTGAGAAAATTAAGACATTCTGTCAGAAGTAAGTGGAAATGTACACCACTGTGCAATACCATTTCATCCCTTTGATAGGTCTGGTTTCATACAGTCCAATATTCAATTTTGCAACTAAATCTTTTATGACTGGTTTAAAGCCTGCCAGCTTTAAAAAAAAGTATTTTTAACGAACACTATAATTTGATTAATATTAGAAATAAAAAAACTACATGTACATTAAAACAAACAAGATGTCTGATTTTTCCATTTTCAGATCCTACTAATCAGGTACGCAGATGTATTTAAATAAAACCATCACGGAATATTTTATCATTAAGGGAATTTCTGATGCTCTTGAAATACAAATTACAATCTTCATTTTAGTTTTGTTGATTTACCTCTTCACTCTTGGAGGCAACATGATCATTCTTCTACTCATCTGTCTGGACTCTCATCTTCACACCCCCATGTACTTCCTTTTAGCTAACTTGTCCATTGTGGATATGTCTTGCACTACCACAACATTGCATATGATCTTGAAAAGCTTTATTACAGGAGATAAAACAATTTCCTTTTTTGGTTGTATGGTACAGACCTTTATGGCTGGATCTTTATCAGTACATGAGCTATTTATACTGACTGCAATGAGTTATGATCGTTATGTAGCTATCTGTAACCCTTTGAGTTACCATTTGGTTATGAATCATAGAAATTGTGCCCTCTTGACCTCTCTCTGTAGGGTGTTGGGTTTCCTACTTGTTGCCCCTCTTGTAGGGATATTGTCTAGTTTCTCTTGCTACTCATCAACTGAAGTCAATCACTTTCTCTGTGACATTGTCCCCTTGATGAAAATAACTTGCAGCGACACTTCTCTTTTGGATATATTGTTTTTTTTTGAAGGCTTATTCTTTTTTATTTTAGGCCCATTTCTCCTGACTCTTATTTCCTATGTCTTTATAATAGCAGCCATACTGAAGATCCATTCAAACACTGGAAGACGTAAAGCCTTCTACACATGTTCTTCACACCTCACAGTGGTCATCCTTCTGTATATCATGCTTGTTAGTCAATACCTGACACCAAATGCAGCAGGTACACTGGAATCAAAGAAACTGTATGCATTGTTTAATACAGCTGCCATCCCTCTACTCAATCCACTGATCTATAGCTTAAAAAATAAAGATGTAAAAGCAGCTTTAAGACGAAAGTTGAATTTAGGTGAAGTAATCACTTGATTTTTATTTGAATCTAATTTCTGTGGACATTTTTGTCAATCCCATATCTATTGGCATTACATGTAATATTGGGAATTTGTCCTTGATCTAATACATTACAAGTATGACAAAGGGATTGTCTCCTCTAAATTAAATCTTAAGGAATAAGATATGTCTCATCTATACATTGCATATGGATGTTGTGTTCATTGTACACATATGGTATCAATTAACATGCAATGCAATCGCAAATAGAGCATGTACAATGTATTAATTTTAGCCATTCAATATGTAATTTATATAAATATTTATCGTGCCAATCATTGCCTCCTTTGGTTTTATTCTCAAATGTTCAAAAAACTTTAAAGCTAAAAGCTGGGCTAAATAAAAATGTATCTAAACACAAGATCCATGCATCGTTCGCTTGATTTTGGTTTACTTTGTGTATATCTTACATATTGTGCAGTAATACAGCCTGAAACATTTCTCCACCTTGCCTCTGTGTAGGTGTTTCCTGTAATACAGACCTGTTATTGATGCTTTCTTTCAATGTGTAATGTAAAAATGATTTAGGTAGATAAATGAGTCAAATAGCTTTTGTCACATTAATTGATGCATAGTGACATGGTTGGGTTTGCATCCAGACTAGTGCAATATATTGTAAATGCATTAAAACAAATTGACTCTCCTATCTACATTGCTGCTGTATGAATCTTAATCAATTTTGTCTTTTCCTAACTACTCCTGGACAAGAAACTTGAGCAAAAAATGGATGGATTTTCATGGACAATCATTATTGTTTACCCCAAGATAACTGATGTCTGCAGAGATTCCCCCCCCCCCCCAATCCACTTCTCTGTAGGCATCTCTATAAGCACAAAGAGCAGAGAGAGAAGTTGTTATGGCATCCTGAACTATGTGTAAATGTATTTTTATAGAGTGGGGGGGGGTTTAAAACTCTTTGTCAGGTTTTTATTGCAGAAACATGTATAAATGAGGAACTGGTATCAAGTTAGCCATAGCTTATAGTTGACAAAATTCAGTCAGATGAGGCTCAGTAACTGTGGTAAAGCTGCTCTAAACAAAAAGAGTACACCTTAACTAGGAGACCCAGAGTTTAGGATCCACATGTAAAAAGTCTAATAAGAGTGCCAGACTGAAGACCTAAGAGTCTAAAGCGTTTTCTTTTAATATTGGTACTAGTTCATAATGAGAAAACATAAAAACACCCAAAGTGTTTTGAGGGATCTAAAATCTCCTCCTTCTCCATGGTGCAGACATTGTACTATTCTGAGTCCTCCTAACTACATACAGTCAGAATATACGTATGGTTTACAGGGTGAACAATGGAATGTACAAAGGATTAGTGTGCAAAATAGTTTGCTTTCATAACAATGCAGGGTACATTCCATTGTGGTATTTGGTCTCCAATATGAGCAGAGGACCAAATGCAACACACAGTATGTCCTCAGTCTTCCGAGTTGAATGACCGTGGGCATCAATCAACCCTGAAGATTGTGTAAATTTCTGGGTTTATTTACTAAAGCTGGAGAGTAGAAAATCAGACTCACTTCTGCATAGAAACCATTCAGCTTCTAACCTCAGCTTGTTCATCTAAGCTTTGGCAATAAGACCTGGACGTTGATTGGTTTCTATGCAGAAGTGAGCCTGATATTGCACTCTCCAAACTTTAGTAAATAAACCCGCTAGTGGTAGAGAAGAGTGTTAGAAGTGAATATTGCAAGACTTTAATGCAACAATGGTCCAATTACTGTAACTTCTTTAACCACTTGCCTACCAGGCACTCTTACCCCCTTCCTGCCCAGGCCAAGTTTCATCTTTCAGCACTGTCGCACTTTGAATGACAATTGCACAGTCATGCAACACTGTATCCATATGACATTTTTTATCAATTTTTCACGCGAATAGCATTTTCTTTTGGTGGTATTTATTCACCACTGAGTTTTTTATTTCTTGCACTGTAAATGAAAAAAAAGAAAGAAAACCTTTTTTCTCAAATTGTTCACTGTTTCTATTATAAAAGTTTGCAAACAGGTAATTTTTCTTCTTTACTAATGTGTGCTGATGAGGTGGCACTGATAGACAGCACTGATATGGTGCACTGATGAGGCAGCGCTGGTGGAAATTGATGAGGAGGCACTGATAGGCAGCAATGATGGGCGCTGATAGGCGACACTGATGGGCACTAATAGGTAGCACTGGAGGGCACTGACTGGTAGAACTGAGAGCACTGACTGGTGGCACTGATAGGCACATATTGGCAGCACTGATGGGCAGCACTGATGAGTACTTTTGGGGCTGCATGATAATCTGTGCCCTGATTATCAGTGCCGTTGCCGCTTATCGGCAGAACTTTCCTCACACTGTGACAGTGTGAGGAAAGTACTGCCAATAACCGGCAAGTGTATTTACATGGTAGTAATCTGTGATTGGACACAGCTGATCACGTGGTAAAAGGTCGCTGTGATTGTTCTTTTAACATGTCATGTGATCAGCTGTGTCCAAAGGACACAGCAATTACAGACAGCGCTGGGGGCACGTTCTGGGAGGATGTCATATGACACCCTCCCAGAACTGGATGACCATGCTGTAGCCGTTATTCATCTATAGCGCGGTAGGGAAGTGGTTTGTTTTGAGTTTTATGTCTTTGTACCTGTCAACATATATCTGTTAATAAAGATTACAAGTTGGAACAGGTTACAAGTTGGAACCAATGACAGAATACATAGAAGCTGGAGGACTCATAAGAAATAAATTAAAGAACTAGGCTGCAAGCTGAAGGAAAGGACTTCTAGGGTTATATTCTCTGGAATATTGCCTGTTCCATGGTCAGCACAGGAAAGGCAGTGGGAGCTTAGAAAACTGAATGCACGGCTATAGACTTGGTGTAACAGGGAAGAGCTTGGGGTTCTGGAGCACTGGGCTGACTTTTTATTGAGGTACACCTTATATGCTACAGCTAGTTTGCACCTAAATAGAAAGGGGTCTGCTGCATTTGGGGAGAGGTTTATGGAAAGGTTGGAGGAGTATTTAAACTAGGATTGAGGGCAGAGGGAGAATTAGAATATAAATCGGCAGGCAAGTCAGGCAGGGGTCAGAAACTAATGAAGGGTGGAATGGGGGAGAATGATGGGAGGGCTATGGCAGGTGATAAGGAGTTTCCCATATTACAAACAACCATTGGCAATTTAGTACTATTTGTACTACTAAAATAGATATACAAAACACAAATTCAAAATGTGTCAATGAATTAAAGTGGTTGTAAAGGCTCAAGATAATAAAAATAACCTTCTATTTGCAGCAACACCCTCAGCCCCCCCTAATACTTACCTGAGCCCAATCACGATCCAGTTATGTGCACAAGAGCCTTGGCTCTCTAGGGACTCTCCCTCCTCATTGGCTGAGACAGCAATGGATGCCATTGGCTCCTGCTGCTGTCAGTCACAGCCAATGAGCCAATGAAGAGAGCAATGGGTGAGGTCAAGCCACTGCTCTTTGTGTGAATGGACACACAGAGCAGTGGCTCGAGAGCAAGCCTGCATGGGGGCCCCATAGAAAGCTGTTTGCTCTGGAGACACTCAGCAGGAGGGAGAGGTCAGGAGCTCTGGTGGGGGACCAGAGAAGAGTAGGATCAAGGTTGCATTTTGCAAAACCATTGCACAGAGAAGGTAAGTATAATGTGTGTATTTTTTTTCTTGTAATTGCCTTTAATATCACTTTAAAGTGATGCGAGAAGGCTACCAAGCAACATAGGAGGAGAGTTGGAAGATTTGATGCATGAAGAGAATTTTGATTTAATTGGTATTACCTCATCTAGGCTTCATTATTCACATGACTGGGCCATTAATATTCTCTTTCAGAGAGACAGGGTAAATTGTAAAGGTGGTGGTGTATGTTTCTATGTGAGAAGTGATCTCAAAATGTGTATGAAAGAGGGCCCTTTTGATGGAGAGGGTGATGGTGCCGAAGCATTATGGCTATAGCTGCATATGAGTGTGCGTACTTTAAAGTTAATTGAAGATTGTTATAGGACACCCAGTGGTAAGAAGGGAGAAGGTGGAGACTCAGCTTGCACAAATAGGACGTTCTGCAAGAGCTGCGATAGTAATAATAATGCCTAAAACAGTAGCAGGATCGAAATTTATAAACCTATTACAGGACAATTTTCTGGTGTAGTTTCTAGAAGCCCCAACTAGAAATGATGCACTGCTGGACCTAGTAATCTCAGATAGTTCAGAGCGTGATACTAATGTTCATATAAAAGGGCATCTGGGTAGCAATGATCATAACATGATTTTATTTAACGTTAGCTGTAAAAAACAAGCACCTACTGGAAAGATAAAAACATTTAATTTTAGGGGAGCAAATTTGCCAAGATTTAGCCTGGGAGAAATGATGAATACAGAACAGAAAAGGAATACTTAAAATCAACTGTTATAAACACACTGCA